TCCCCGTGCGGCCAGGGTCCCCGTGCTGCCAGGGTCCCCATGTGGCCAGGGTCCCCGTGTGGCCAGGGTCCCCGTGCGGCCAGGGTCCCCGTGTGGCCAGGGTCCGGAGCTCTCCCTGCCTGCCCAGCCCTGTTTCTCTGAGCACCGGCCTTCAGGCCCCTGCAGGCATTACCTCCCCAGGGGCTGGACGGGGCCGTAGGACCTGTGTGGACTGGGCTTGGGGCTGGGCTGGGGTGGGGGGAGGCCTGGCCCTGGCCAGCAGGGACCTTCCTCTTTCAGGCGAGTTCATCATTGGCCGCGTCATCAAGGCCATGAACGGCAGCTGGCACCCGGGCTGCTTCTGCTGCCAGCTGTGTGGAGTGGAGCTGGCTGACCTGGGCTTCGTGAAGAACGCGGGCAGGTGAGTTGGGCAGGGAGGAAGGTGCCAAGCGGGAGCTGGCAGACTCTCAGGAGCGTGCAGTCAGATGACTGCCTCCTGGCCCCGCACGCAAGGCCGACACCAGCCTCTGCTTCCCTCCGGCACCCGCTGGGCTTCTGGAGAGAGCAGGCCTGGCCACCATTCTTATATCCAGGGCCCCCAGTCTCCTGGGCTCAGATCGGCCTCCTTGCAGCCCAACTCCAGGTCTGAGAAGAGTTTCCTTTCCACTCCCCTCCTCCTCCCACTGTCTCCACCCCACCCGCCCTCAGGTGGCCTCCCTCCCACCTCTGCGAGGGCCAGGCCCTGGGGCACCTGGCTGCCCAGCATCTGTGCCCTGCAGCCTGGCCATGTCTCTGCTCACCCTGTACCCTCTTGAGAAGGCTCGAGGCTTCCTCCCTCTCTCCCTCCCTCCCTCCCTCCCTTCCTTCCTTCCTCAGGCTGGGTGGCCCCCAAGGTCCAAAATGCGCTCTTGGTTCTCTGCAGCCCTCCCGGTGCACATACGGGCTCCTCCCATCTGCTCTCCATGGTCTCAGCCTCCTTGGGGTCCATGGCACCCCACTGCCAGACCCAGAGGTTGCTGCTGGCCTCTGTGGCTTCGCCAAGGAGCCCTCTCTCCTGCTAAGGCGCCTCCTCTCGCGGCCATGCACTGGGGTCTCCTCCAGGGGCTCCACCTCTCCTGCTGGCGCCTGGGGCTCTGCACTGGGCTCTCAGGTCTGCCCAAAAGGCCTGTATTTGCACCTCCCACCCAGTCCTCCCTGTGGTCGCTGCTTGGCCACTGCTGCCTCCACTGGTGTCTATCAACCAGGCACCCCCAGTGCAGCAGGTCACCACCCACCTTCTCCTGCACTGGACTGTCTCAGGGAAGAGCCGCCTGCCTTGTGCCCCCTCTGCCCCCCTACCCCGCCCACTGATCCCCGCCTTCTCCTGTCTGGGCGCTGGTTCCCATCTCGATCTCTGACCAGAACCCCCTCCC